TACATATCTATATATATGAACACTCAAAGAAAAAAAGCCGCCCACGTTTGCCGCCGAGCTTGTCGCAATGTGCCGATGCGCATCTCTCAAGTGTACTTTACCCCATGGATGGATGCCTGTGTGCGGGCGCTTATTTTTCGGTGGGGGAATCGTGCGTCTTCGGCTTTCACTGAAATGAAAGCGTTAGTTGCCGGGCCCACAAAGGTCACTGGTTTCTACACAGGCCCCTTTTGCGAAAACAGCGTGCTTTTCATACACAGCGAGGTATAGCAACTGGGACATTTGTTAGTTTGTACTCATCTGTACCTGTGATTACGTATCGTGCATCTTTTTGTTTAAACAGAGTGATACGTGTTCAGCGGTAGATGTTGTTAGTTCGCTCTTGTCCTGCGTGTATCGTTCTCGTGCGTCATTTGTGTGCGAGCAGTGCGCCGCACGTTTCGATCTGCTTGCCGTTCTCAGAGTTACATTCCAAGCTGTTGCTATCACATTTATTGCTTCGCCCTCGCAGCAAAACTAACTTCTTTTTTTTTACGTATTCACTGCCTTTATCTTACCACTGCTTGCCCTCCGAGCTCCAAGATCGCTATCGCGCCGCCGCGACCGCGGTTTTGTGCCGACGGTTGCGGCAAACGGTAGTTCATTTTCCAACCCCCATGCGCTTGGCTGCACACGTGCCTTCAAAACTAAGTCGTTTTATGCCATCTACGATAGCATCTGCCACAGTTTTGTACGCAGAGTTCACAGAAAGCAGCATTGCTTTGACTGGTTGAGCACACTTTCGGGGTTCTGTCAGTTACGTCATCACCATACATGATCGTGTCGGGAGCGACCACGGTTTCTTCCACAGCGGTTGTGGCAAGGACAATCAGACGCACGGTAGAAGACAGCGCGTGCGCCGGTCGCACGTGTACTTTCAAAGCTTTGAGTACGCTCCTCTCAGTCTTCTCGACGGTTTACGTACTAAAGTTTTTATCACCCGCCACGATTAGGAAATGTGTTCGGAACATCCAAATTGAGGCCCAATGAACATAGTAAAATTTGGGGCTGGGGAATTTCAAGAAATCGTACCTGCCCCGGTTTCGCATCAGAGTTTATACTGTACGTTTGCATGAACGCCTCTTGAACTCGTTTATAGCAAAATGGGGTAGGTTCAAAAAGCCTGGAGCGGATAGAGCTGCTTTTTTGTCAATGCGGCCAGATCACGCACAGAAATTTCAATTTCCGGGAGATTTTCATGACAACTGTACAACCGGAAAAAACTGTCAAAATCCGGGAGACTTAGCAGGCAAAAGAAATGAATGTGATGACATTTTGGCAGCACACATGCAGGTATTAGTGAAAATTGCTATAATTACTTGCAGTGTGACTCTTGAAATGAGCTATCACCAGTGTTTCTGGAAGTGACGGTTTTCACCGATGAATCGCCCCCACGCTTACATTCTACTGATTGGCCTACGCGTCACGAGCCTATGCGAAGAGCCCGTTTTGTCGTTGAGTCAAATTACACAATGGAAGCTGTGTCGGCACTGAGCATAGCATCAGAGATTACTATAGGGACGCATGCACGGCTACTGTTTATTCAGTGAAATATTTCTTCGGACGTGGCTGTGATTTCGGCAGCCTTATATATAAGCAGCACGCGTGGCTATTTTCACTGATAGGTGCCCTCAAACCCGAGAGTTTGGCGCAGTTTAGCAGAATTTCCGTTGATATTATTAAGACCCATTGCTTTCCGCAATTTTGCAAAAAATCACGGAATTTAGGTTTTTCGGCAAAAATATGAAAAACAGGTGGATTTCGTGAAAAATCACGGAATTACATTTTTTTCTTAACGGGAATGCGAAAAGTCGTTAGTTTGTTTGCAATGCCAGCTAACAGGTTTTCGGGCGTGCAATGAAGAATTGACATCGCTGTAGTATGTGAAATAACTTGTTTTTGGTATGAGATTTGATTGTAAAATGGGCGAGGCACTTCTTTGAGAACAGATATGACTAGTCTAGCGCGAAATGGGGCTGTGTGACGAACTTGCAATCATGCTCGCAACCACCCTCCTTGCTCGCAACGCGCTGTCGCGAAGGCGGTTCCGGTTTCGTACTCGATGGAAACGCAGAGGCAATCTCTTCATACTCTTTTTTTGACCACAAAAAAAAAAAAAGTTTGCATTAGATGTCGGCCAATCAATGCGCTCATATAATTTATTAGTTAATAGAAAAATTTAAACCGCCACTGATAACAAGGCTTAACGGTAACCGTAAGTAGCCGTAGTCACCTATCAATCCAACATACTCGCTTTTGCAACTGCACGTGTGCCGTGTGCCTTGTTCTCGTTTGCTTTGGTCGTTCTAGCCACCCAAGCTTTGGTTGAAGATCGATGCGTGAATAGACATGGCGCATCCAGGGTCACATTTAAGTAAAAAGACTGCCATGGAACGCGCTCGAGAATACAAGCACGCTGAGTTTTACGAAGATGGAGGTGTGCTTTTTCGCCGGGCTTGCGCAAGAGCAGTTGACCATCGCCGCAAATCAACTATTGAGAAGCACATAAAAACCAATCGTCATTGCAAGAATGTCGGAACAAGGGACTCCTCTAAGCAAAAAACGGCGAAGAACCATCGGAAGACGGAGCCGGAGGTTCAGGAGCACCGAAGAAGCAAAGTAGACTGCAAACGCTGGAATCCGCAATCACAGCTAGTGAAGTGAGGAACGATGTTGTGCTCAAGTTCTTGGATGCATTGATATCCGCAAATATTCCCCTTGAGAAGGTGGACAATCCGAAACTGAGAACGTTTCTGCAGACACACGTTCGGAATGGCAGATCCGTGCCTGGATCTGACGAGCTCCGCCGGCGACTTCCAGAATTGTTCGAGAAGCACGAGGCAAATTTGATAGTTATGTTTCAAGGCACCACAGTTTCTGTAATTATAGACGAAACCACCGACGACCGATTAAAATCGGTTGTGAACGTGCTGTTCGTTCAGTCGGCCAAAACGGCGAATGCTGCACTACAACCTGTACTTGTGGAAGTGAAATTCATGGATGAAGTGAACTCATCCATCATTGGACGCATCGTGACAAGAACACTCACGAGGTATGGAGTTGAATTTGAGGATGTATCGGGCTTTGTTAGCGATAACGCCACTTACATGATGAAGTCCTTTAAGGAGTGCATAAAGCCACTTTGTGAAGGTGCTGTTCACGTTACGTGTGTAACCCATACAGTGAACATTGTTGGCAGCACACTGCAGGCATCTTTTCCCTCAGTGAACAAGTTTGTCGCTTGCATGAAGAAGGCCTTCCCTCTGTCGAGTAGAAAGAGAGCTTTCTACAAATCGCATCTGGAAGAGTGCAGAGTTCAGTGTGCCAAAGCACCGCCAGCACCAGTCCAAAGCAGGTGGAATTCATGGATTGAGGCTGTAGAACAACATTCTGCCTACTTCGAGCACTATCCTTCATTGCTTCAGCAAGTCCACCAGAAGTATGGTGAAGCAGCGTGTGTTCATTCTCTTCTGAAACTGCTTAGTGAAAACTCGACTGAGATCAGGTACAGCATGCGGTGCATTACGGTATTTGGGAAAAAGTTTCCAGCTTGCTGAAATCAGCAGAAGGTCAGCGCATAGCCTGCCACAAAGCGTACAATGCATTGTTAACGCTTTGGTGGTATCTTGAAGCAACTTCAAAGGAGGATTTTGCAACACAGCTGAAGAGAGAAAATGTTGCACATAATGTGGCCAATCAAATTGAAAAGATGAAGGCTGCAATGACCAAAGTCGCCAACAAAGCACAGGTATACTTGGAGAAGTCCAATACGTGGCAATTCTTCAAAGACGTTAGGTTCTTGGATCCTCTGCAAGTTTGGTGTCTTTCACAGAAGAAGACAGAGTTGACAGGCGTGCCTCAGCTTGCAGAAGAATCACTTGCTCTAGCTGCCTAATGGCAGATTTACCTGAAGACTGCACAAGAACTGAAGACCAGTGACAGGGACCTGGCTCCATTTGTGTCGAAGAAACAAAATCCAGGAGCAGACTTTGATATCCTGGCTTTCTGGGCAGGGATGGAGCAGCTTACTCCAACCCTTTCATCAATCGCCTTGAAATACTTGGCGATACCAATCAACTCTGTTGATGCAGAGAGATCATTTAGTCGCTATGGTGACATTGTCTCCCACAAGGGTCACTCTCTAAGTGAAGAGAGCACCAAGCACTATCTGATGCTGTGCCACAACAGCTCTCTCCAATTTTAATTATTGCAGGCATGTTGCGAGCCTGAAAGTGTGATAAATAAGTTGTTACGTGTGTTTTCTGGCATTTGTTCATTATTCCCCTCAGAATTTTGCATGTTTAGAGTTGCCGCGGAATTTCGCAGGTTTCTCTATCTGGAACTGCAGAATTTCAAGTTTTCCACCGCATAACGTTAGGGGCCCTAGATATTATCAAGATGGTGCAGTAAATCTGATTTGGCACACATTGGTGCAGAAGTGGAATCACTGCAAGTGCCTGGAAACAAATACAGTGAGCGAGATATTCTACATACATTTTCTGTGCCATCAAACTAGTTTAATGACGAAGCTTTTGAAGCTCAAGTAAAATGTTGGGCGTCCGCAAAAAAAAAAAAAAAAAGCCTTCCGCATTGTTGCCTAGCAACAACCAAGCTAGGTAACAACTAATTCACAGCTGTCCACCACATGGGTTTAACCTCACCTTGCTACACAGGTTGTGTAGCAAGGTGAGGTGTAGCAGTCAACTAGACTGCTAAATTTCACCGTTTTTTCCATTTTTTTAAACCATTACAAATGACATTTGCACAGGCTTTGTTTCCATTTTTAAAAATATTGTGGAGGTTAGTTGGTTCATCACAAATAAGCCCATTTTTCTTAATATTACTTCATTCAAATTATTTAACCAAAATCACCATTTGCTTCAAACATAAAATTCACCATTTACAGAAGACTAGTTCTGATACATTAATACAGCTAAATGAACCGGAGCTGCAATACTCACATCTGTCCATTAGTGGCGGTGTAAAGGCTGGGATCTCCAGTGCTGTCGACATACTGGACATATGTAGGGTGCACTGCTGAAGTCGGCTGAAGTGTCACAGTGCCAGGTGTCTGTCCATCGGCGTCCGCCACTATCAGATAAATTGTGACGTTCAAACATTGCTGTCCCAGGATGTTTAAAAGTCTAATTATAAAACAGCTATGAAAAACCAATCATTCATATGTTCTACAGTAAAACTTCGTTAATTCAAACTCGGTTATTTTGAAATCCCACTTCATTCGAAGTATTTCCATGGTCCCGTATCTTGTAATGCAAGTATGAGCAGATAATTTGAAGTAACAGTCAGCACAAATCTGGTTAATTAGAAAACTTTGGGTGCAGTGTACTAATTCTCGATACCAATTTCACCACAAATCCTGAAAAACAACAGCCCTTAAGAGCCACTAGGCAATGTACTTTAGCGATACTAACCCGTGGTAGCTGAAGCGCCCCTGTCTCGCTACTTCCGGCATGAAAAATAAAGTTATATATATAAAAACAACGGTTTGGTGGTAGACTGAAATGTGCGCCAGTGCAAAACAAGACGTGATTCACTGCAATACAGCGGTGACGTGCAGGCAGCATGGCGCATCATGGTGCAGGCATCGCATCATAATTTATTCATTCTTTCTGGGAATTTAAAGAAATCAATGAAGGACAGTCTAGAGAAATTCGCGATGTACGCGAACTTCCGAGTGCCAGTTGCTCCAGCGATTCGGGCACTTGCACAGCTGGCCGAGTTCTTGCTTGAAACGCCTACTTCGAAAACTCGGCTAGAAAGCTTCAATGGTGATGTTTTCCAGCTGAAACACATTTCGAATTTTGTCACACTGTCTATTATTAAATTCTTTATTTTTTGAGAAAGAATGGGTGAATGGTCGCATCATGACGTGCTGATGCAGCAAGGAGCAGGCGGCATGCTGCCCGCATGTCATTACTGTGCTGCAGTGAGGATATCCTATTTTCTGCAAGCGGGCATTTCAGTTGATCATTTTTTTTTTTTTTTTGTGGTGACAGCCGTTAGGCTCGCAAATGCCCCTTGTTTGCTACAAAACTGTGACCAGGTATTGCTAGAAAACATAACCCTTAGCCGGCACAGCAAACGACTAGTCCTGGGTAATTTGAATAATTTCAAGTTGCTTGCATTTCACATTTTGTATATTCTGTTTAATTCGAAAATTTCTCATGGTCCCAGTGACTTCAAATTAATGAGGTTTTACTGTATAACCATATGTCAAATGTCCACGAATGCACATAGAATACCTTAAAAAATAGACAAAAACTTTGTCGTCCACAATGCAACAAGAAAAACCAGGCAAAAGATTGTTTCCCATCGCTTGGCGAATTATTTTTTCACGGATATTTCTTAATAAACATGAATATATAATAGTTACTTCGATCTTTCGAATTGTATTTAGTTAAAAAGCCCTTAATTTCAATGTGTTATAGTCAAAGAAACAGACACAACACCGGTTCGTCAGGCAAGCCATTGAGCTTATAGCGGTCTTTGGCTCTCTGCATCTGGCCTTAGGCTTGGCATCTGTAACCAGCATCGTACCATCACCGATACACATCGAGGCCATATCTCATTCGCAGCCAATGCAGAAGCAATCGTAAGCCTCACCATCCCATGAGCACGTCTGTGATAAGTGGCCCTGAGATCCTAAAGAAGACAACACGTGGAATCGGGGCACAGGGTGGTGCAAGACGCGGTGGGAGGAGACTGAAGAGGAAGGGGAAAAGAATAGGCAGACGTGGCTGGCGATCTAAGAACCAGGGTGCAGGAACAGAGACCTGTTGGCTTCCAGACTCTAGGTAGCAGCAGGCTCCCACCTGAGGCCAAACGAGCCGTCCAAGCACCTGGGGCCAAACCAGCCAGCCGACCACCTCGGGCCTCGCGTATGTTGAAACGTCGCCAGGACGTGCCCGCCAGGCGGGCCTGGCGTCTACCGCAGCAAGCCTCAGCCAGCATTTGGGAGCAGCGTGGCAAGGGCCATGCGCATTCCAATGTCAGCGACCTCGGTGGTGAGCAGCATTGCTGGCCACGGCTGGCAGCACAACTACTGCGCTACCCAAGGATTGAGTGTCCTCCCACAGTCATTCAGTCCTTTCCTGGAACTTGACCGCCGCATTGCTCCCAGTGAACTCATTCTTTGTTACCTTCAGTTTTTTACTTTTTTAGCACTCTTAGCCCATGTTCTATTTTCCTTACTACAATTATAATTCCATCATCCCTGTAAATACATTATTTTCCTTCATGCATAAACGACCTCGTTATTGTCCCGATGACGTTTAAGTCATCGTGATTCTTTTGGGATAAATACGAGCGCTTTGTTTAGAGCTTAGTCTTGCCACATACAACTCTTTACAATGTCAGTGTGACCTCTTTCTGCCAGCGACAGTCGGAGAAGGGGCCCTCACTTGACGAGAAGCTGCACGGTAGCCGGCCCATCTGGGAAGAAGGTCCTAGTTGCATTAAGCATGGTTTTCCCTTTTTAACGCATTCATTGGCTGAATGCAGTGATGCTCACCTCACGACATCAAAGCAGTGGATGACTCGGCGAGGGTCGTCAAGTGGAGACCCAAGTATGAGCAAGTATGAGCGAGCACAGCCAGAAGAAGGCAATCTTCTGAAACTCCGTCCCCTGGTCAGTGACCACTTCATCTGAACCAGCACTGTGTTGCCGGAAGTGGCTTTTCGCACAAGAATCGCTGATGATCAATCGGACTTCAAAGATTTCAAAGGGAGAGGCAGCGAGATCGAGATGCTTTCGGCCCCCCATGGCAATCTTGTCGTGTCGCATTCTTCCTTTGGCCAGTATGTACCGACTCAAGATGCAAATCCAGAAGGGGGAAAATTAGATCATATCTGCGATTGCAAACATCATGAGGCTACTTCAAACTGCGACCACAAGGACACAGTCCACGCCATCAACTAGAGCTTCGTCATTAACAGCATTACAAGCCAGACTGAAGAGTATTCGAGACCTGCAACCACAACGACATAGCCAATGTTGGCTGCCGGAATCATATTTGGTGAACTTCCAAGTGGAGTTCCAGCATCGCTGAGCTTGGCCACTCTGAAATAGCCAGTGCCATCTACCAGACATACTAATGGCAGATCTACATGCCACATCGTAGCATGGCCGAAAGTATGAAGCCAGCATGGCCCACAGAACCATTGTCGACAACCCACGTGCTCACAGTCATGGCAGTGTGTGATGACAAAGAGCGACACCAGGGTTTGGGTGCGAGGACAGTTGGAAAGAAGACCGGCTGATAAAAAACAGCCAGTCCAGAGTACAAACATTGTCTCTTGTGCGATTCCTCACAGTATAAAGATTTTCATCTTGAAGGGACACTAAAGGCAAAGATAAGAGGTGTGCAAATAGCAAAATTTATGGGGCGTGGTGGATTTGAATGTTGAAGCTTGAGCGGGAACTGAATCTAGCCAAATATTCCCTGAATGTAAATAACATAAAAAAAAGTTGCAGAGGATCACCGAACCCAGTGCTTCTCAAAAAAGGGTCCATGGAGCCATTTTTATGATCCGCGAAACCTTCCCCCGCATTTTTCTTTAAGCGTGACTGTGCCACGTATTGATGAACTGCCCAAAACGAAGTGATGTGGCCCGTTTGTTTGATGTTTTTGGTAGCAATAAAAGGCACCTGTTTCACGCTCTAGTTGTGTTAATTTACCTACGTACCCCCCTCCCTCCCCTCTGCTGCGAGGAGTCCACCATCAATTCCACTAGTCTACAAGGGGTCCCCGACACATCCATGGCTGAGAACCACTGGCCGAGCGTATCCTTAAGAGGAGACATGATAATAAATATGGTAAATATGGTCAAAACGTTTAACTTTTCAATTATACTTTTCCAGAAAGTCTCAGACCTGGTTTTAAAGGCCAACTGCAGCAATTTTTTCACCATGTCAAGGTAATGGTGTTTCTATATTCCTGAGACACTCTTGTCATGAGCCCAATAACTGAAATGCTTAAAAAATTTAAAAATAATTTTTAATGAGCAAAAAGGTGAAATACCGATGCCGAAACCCAACCAGGCACCCTGCCTGTGTATGACGCACTATTTGGTAAGAACCAGAGGCCGTATACTGGTACCGCCGACGCAGAGTATGAAAACTGTGAAACGCAGACCAGCCCGGGCCAAACACCACCGAGGAAGGAATAAAGCTTTCCCGTGCTATACCCATGCCAAACATCGCTGCCGTCAACTCGTGGCCAGCACAATAAATGCTGTAGCGGTCAAAGTAGCGACGCCATCAACTGCGTCACTCTCGTCGACATGCCAAACATGACGCCCCACAGATAGTGTTTGTTGCCAATGATTCTGGCAAGTGGGGTGAGCTTTTCGAGGCAATCTTTAAAATTAATTTTCAAACAATCAGTGCATCTCTCAAGCCTGTAATATGGCATGAATGAAAGAAATGCGCAAAGGAATGTACCGAGCGAATTTCGTTGAAATCCATGGACTTCGAAAAATCGACGGAGTTGGCCTTTAAGTCATGGTGAAATATTAGGTCAATATAGACAGCAGAAGTTGAGCAAAAAAGCACTTTAATAGTGTGCTGTCATCAAAAATCATGAGAAAATGGCACTTAAGAAAATGCAAATCTGCAGCTTTCCCTAGGCACAGAGCCATCATACAATGAAATCTCGGTATAACGAGCTTCAGGAGACCGTGGAAATTTGTTCGTTGTTTTGAAAGGTCGTTATAGTGAAAGCTAGAAAATTAACCAGAAATACTTAATTTTCACCGACCAAAATGACTTACCTTCACAGCGGTGAATCCTTGAACTCGTTTTTCATGACAAATAAATAAATGCACTACTAAACATCAAAAAAAGCAGGTTTTTTTAGAGAAGTCAGTTTTTCTTTTTTTTTTTTTTTTGACGCGACCAGCACAAACTTTACGGCGCGGAGGCCTTCAGCTTATCCACATTTCTGTGGTGCGATTCGGTTCTTTGGTCACAACAGCCTGCTTTTTGCCTTATAGTCGCCGCAGAATATCCATTGTCTCACATAGCGAAAACTGCTTCTGCTTCTTCGTCGCAAGCAGAGATGAACTCATTTGTAGTATCACGGCAGCGTGAATGCCGAATTGCTTTGCGTATCCAATAAGTAATGAACACGACTGATAAAGGAAGGCCTCTAAAGAAAAGCCTGAAGCGTCACGACTGTAATCACCTCTTTCGAAGAAAAAAAGTGCTAAAAAAGAATATTCCTCGCGTTTCGTTTTCTGCTCAATCGCTGTCTCAGGTTTTCCGCGCCCATGTTTCCTGCTCCGCAACTCCAACTCTGCCTCGCTGACCTTGCCCTCCCGTGTTGCCCTCGGCTCTGCGCTCGCTTGTAAACCTGCAGCGTCGGCGTTTCAACAAAAAGAAAGAGAAGAAAGTCGCCCTTTCGTTTTTCTTTTTTTCCTCACGCGTCTTCCGAAAAGCAAGGCGTCCGTTCGCTTTGTCGTCTGCTTGCGTACCGCTCAGGTGGACGCGACGGATCTCAGAACATAAGTTTGTAGTACTGGGTCATTGTTAATATAACATGGAACTAAATTAACGCTCGTTATTCTGAAAAGTTCGGTATTCTGAAGTAAATAGTAGTGAAATAAGTTTACATTAAAAATATCAGCAGTCGGCACGGGAATTTGTAACAGTTTGTTGATCTGAAAAGTTCGTTACTGTGGGGTTCGTTCTACCGAGATTTCACTGTATTCCCGTTATCATTAAACTTTCCCTCTAATTGCCCATATTGGATGACATTGGTATTCAAAGAGGGCAGATAGGAGCTCAGTATAGCCACAAAGCTGTATTTCAATGAAAAATTAAACCAGCTTCCAACAGAGTTTCTTTGCTTTCAGCTCCCTTGAGCTCCATTTTCTAAGATTTCAATTTTTTGGGCAGTTGCTATCAGTCATACCTGTGCCATTTCACAACAAAGATACAACCATTTTCTTTTACACACTTACATCAGGGGGCAAGTGCCGCAAAGCTGTCCATAGTTGTCTGCACAGATTTTCATAACTGGCTTTTTGTAAAAGTTGGTAAGAGAGAATATGTACAAAACATTTCAAAAATGTTTATGTGCGCTAATTTATTTCTACACCAATAGCTTCACTGCGCGAAATGGGACCTTGTGAATATCCTTATCTTGATGATCTTATGTCAAATTCCTTATACAATCTTGGGATGACAATGAGAGTCTGTCAAGTATTGCAGATTGCTCAAAACCATTTTCATTTATGAAATAAGCAAAACAAATCACATGTGCAGGCCAACCTTCATCGCTTTGCCTTCATAAATAACAAAAATAGTTTTAAGTGCCATGTCCCCCTTCAAGATATAGCAACATGAATGCATTTCTTTTGACTGGGCTGGTGAAGCGCTGGAAAGATGGTACTATTCCCTAGCCTCGCATACAGAATGAAGCAATGCAGGGGCTGAATTGCAATCAAGTGCATGATTTGGCATAATCAATATGACATTGACAACACTTGACAGGTGGAAGGAAAGGACACTACTTCCCCAACCTCTTCTTTAACTTCTGTGGAGGCCCAACCGAAGTGGCGGTGGACAAGAGTGTGCTCCCATAAGAGCATAGAGCTCCTCATTTGCCTCATACATGTGTCCACGCATAAGAATGTCTGAAATTTCGGATGCTGAAATTCTTCAATATCGATTTTTCAGACTTGCTGCCCAAATGTCAGGTCCAAAACAGCGTTATTTAGGGCCCCACCTGTGACCCCTGTTTTTGAGTTCTACAAAGTTCCCTTTAAGGAAGGCTAAATGACTGCAGTCATATACTTTGACCCAGAGAATTTTGTGCCACATCGAGAATGGTCTACATGCGCACTGATTTGCACTGTACACTTTTGACAGGTGACCTCATTTGCAACAGTAACTGTAGCTAGTCTTCAGTTCAGAATCAAGGTGTCGCTGTGGCAGATGAAATCTGCCATATGGAAACAAGCTCGCACATATATTCCTGTCACCTCTATGGCCACTTGATACTAATGGCTCAGATGAAATATTCAATGCCCAGGGAACCAAGGTCATCAGGACAACAAATAAAGAATCAACTGAGGACAAGCTATCTTTGACACAGCTCAAACAGTTGCCAGGAGTGGCAACTTGTTTTGTGCCATGTCTGAACAAACTTTTCACAAAATTGACACTTACTGGTTTCCCTGTTGGTACTTCTAGTTCCTCCCTTACCGAAGCACTGGTGAGAATAAAATGAAAAGAAAATGAACCCAAGTGGAAGTGCACTGCGAGCCCAGCCTCCAGTGCAGGACTGCATACTTCAGCGGCGGTGGCTAACACATTGTTTACACTGCTTCTGTGCAAACTAGACGCGAAAAAGGAGAGCAACAATATAGTTGCTCACTGGATCAAGTGAGCATAGACATAACCTCAGTGTGCTGCTGGACACGACTGTAGCCGATGACTTTGGTGAAGGCACTACGTAGTTCAACGGCTGTTAGACGTTTTGAGACCAATGTCAAAATTGTTTTCCATATGAATACAAACACTCGTTGTGCACACTATCTGGAGCCGGTGATTTAATTCATTCTATATCACAAGGCAAAGTGACTGACTATGGCATAATTGGAATTTTAAATTGCATGCTAATTACAACTAATAAATGAAACTCACATAAGACAACACATTCCTACATTTTCTTTCTTGGAATGCAATATTGAGTGCCTTGGAGTTGTTATGTGAATTTGACACATTCGCAGACAGTGCATCACAATTTGCACCTGAAGAGGATATGCCAGCAGATTGATGAGGTGCCCTACAAATGAGCACGGGTGGAATCAGAGAAGCGTGCCCCGCCGTGGTGGTCTAGTGGCTAAGGTACTCGGCTGCTGACCCGCAGGTCGCGGGTTCGAATCCCGGCTGCGGCGGCTGCATTTCCGATGGAGGCGGAAATGTTGTAGGCCCGTGTGCTGAGATTTGGGTGCACGTTAAAGAACCCCAGGTGGTCCAAATTTCCGGAGTCCTCCACTACGGCGTCTCTCATAATCATATGGTGGTTTTGGGACGTTAAACCCCACATATAAATCCATCATCAATCAGAGAAGCGGGCTATTGGAAAAACCATGTCCTCACAACGGGAGCCTCCCACCTGCAACGGCAATGAAGTGAGGAGTGCCATTGGTCGCTGACACCTGGACCACGGTCGCCTGTGGACTCGTCTGTGGGGGGGACGTTGCAGGAGCCACCTGTTGTGTTGTTGCCGTGGCAACCACCTGCACCAACAGGTTTACTTTCAATGCTCCTTAAACTGGAAACATGCTTGGGTTGAGTATGAGGCTCTTGATTGCATTTTCGCCAACACAATGCAGGCACAATTTCAGCTTCTACATTTGAACACACATGTCCCATTTTACTAAAGTATTAGTAGTTTAGAATAACAAAGTTACACAGTTCTGAAAAGCTGAAGAAAAATTTGAGCTGTCGATAGGGCATCTGAGTATTTATTTCATTATCCTGACAGCATTACAGAGGGGAGTGGGATACACTCACAACATAGTACAACACAGATGAGGCTCAGAAAGAGAAGACGAAAGGACGCATATGGTGTGAGTAATGTTTCTAACATTTACACGAAGCCCACAAAAAAATATAAACACAACAGTGCTAGAGTACAGCAGTGCTCTCAACAAGGGAAACAACCTAGCATGAAATGAGTGGCCGTGGCTGTAGGCAACAGTGTGATAGAAATACGTTTTATAGTGCGCCCACGAAGTGCCAGTATCGACACCATTTGCTTAATCCACACAATCGCAGGCAGGCAATAGGCCTCGACACAGAGCTATCCACATCAATGCCCCACAGAGAAGACAGAGCACATTCAACAGGAGAGCCCACAGAGTGCACGGTACAGCTGTGATCGTCCGAGCAAGGCAGAAATATAGCGAATGCTCAAATAAGCGCAAGGCATTATCAGCCAGTTAATGTGTCATTTCATTCTGGCACAGAAGAATAGTGTCTGGTATGGGTATTGCCGTGAACCCGTTTTGAGCGAGGATTACACATAAAGGCAAGCTAGCTGGGACTGATAAAATAATAAAAGCGCGAGAAGGACAAGAATGGCAATGACAGAGGCATCAACTCACAACTGAAACAGAATCGCGAGTTGGTGGATGTTCATCGTGGACTATTCTACAGCATGCAGTTATTCCATAAACACGCAGAACTACGCATGGTTTGAAAAACATTGGTGCTCGTTATGGCGTAAACGTGCTGTTCCCAGCGCGCAATAAGTTGGTAATCTGTATGCCTTAGTGGATAGAGCGTTGTGTCAGCAGCCAGGGAAAGAGAAAAAATGTGTCTCCAATCATGTCCACAAATATGTGCCTTGTGCTACTGGCGTAGTTTATGCCTTTCCACTATCTTGCGGCTGCGAATAAATAGACAACAGGCTGGTGCATTAACGTGCGCTTACGAGAGCATGAGCTGTCACTATCAGGTGCTGCAATTATGTCTCATTTTGCAGTGCATTGTAGATCATGCGGATGTGTGCCTTACTTGCAGAAAACTTCCATCAAATATAGACATGTGGTTCAGCGCACGCGTGAAATAGCCAAAGCTTTTTTTCATTAAATCCAATAACAAGTCTGTTATCAATACTTCTAATGCCGACATAATATGCCTTAATGAAACCTGGTTGTCTGCGCAGGTTGATAACAGTGAATTATTTGATTGCAAAAAACACTACAACATTTACCGTTGTGACAGAGGTGTTCGTGTGGCGGCGGTGTGCTTATCGCGGTCTCAGACACGATTTCATCTTTTCCAATTCATTTTAGTAGTGCTTTGGAACTTGTTTTGGTTGAAATACAATCGTGTTCCAAGAAGTTGATATTGGGCGCTTGTTATCGACCACCATCCTGTTCATCCACTTTTGTTGACAAGCTTCATAATGTCATTTCCATGCTAACAGTACGGTATCCGAATAGTTCGCTCTTTTTACTAGGCGACTTCAATTTCCCGAATATAGTTTGGTCAAACGTGCATTCTACTTGTCATTCTTTCTCCGGAGCGGGAGACGCGTTTCTGAATTTTCGCAACGATTTTAACTTGTCCCAGCTAATGACACAGGCAACAAGAACTACGTCTACCGCATCTCCTATTTCCTACCACACCTAACATCTCCTACCACCACATTTCCTACCACATCTAACATCTTAGATTTAGTGCTCACCACTGCGCCTGATCTTTTCCATACCATATCCTACTTACAGGGGCTAAGCGACCACTTGCTGCTTCATTTTTCTTTCACCTGCACAGTACCTCACAGTAGAAACCACAAAAAATATATCTGGGACTATAAGCGTGCAGATTTTGATGCTATCAAAAATCATGATCTTTCAGCTTTTTTAAGTGATTATATGCACAACGTTTATGATCGCTCCGTGAATACTAACTGGACTTTATGCAAAGAAAAGGTTCTATCACTCATAGAAAAATATGTGCCACGCATAGTCATCACATCTAACCTGCAATCACCATGGTTCAGTCAATCGCTTAAACGACTACGCAATAAGAAAAAACGCATTTTCAGCTCTGCAAAGGTAACTAGCACTCAAGAACGTTGGAGTGATTATCAGGCGGTAGCTATGGAATAGAAACAAGCCCTAGAGATGCCAAGGATTCATTTTTCAATACTACATTCTACATTACCATATCTTTTAATTACCAACCCCAAGCAATTTTGGAATGTAGTGAACAAAAGAGACAATTCCTCAATCACCCTTAAAGATGCAAACATTTGCATAATCAAACTTGATAAGTCCGCAAATGATCTAAACTCTGTATTTGTTTCTGTTTTTTTACAAAATGTGTGTTCCGTAACTCCCATATATGCTAGTTCGGATTTCCTAACAACGGACCCCATTGTCTTTGATGCTGCCGGTCTATACCGGCAGCATCAAAAGAAAAAATCATAAAAAATCTAAAAGCTTCATCATCATGTGGTGTAGATGGCATCAATTCAAAGTTTTTAATTAGTACTAAAGTACACAGTGCCATTATTCTCGCTAATATATTTCATCAATCGCTTCATACCGGTTGCATTCCGGAAGACTGGAAGGTAGGGAAGGTGATTCCCTTGCACAAGTCTGGGGATAGGCATTCTCCATAAAATTATGAACCAATCTCACTCACATGCATTTCCTGTAAAGTTATGAAAAATGTTATTTGCTCTCATCTCGCATCCTTTCTACAGTCAAACTCCTTTTTTTACAGATCACCAGCATGAATTTCGCAAGTAATTTTCATGTGAAACACAACTTTTGACATTCACACATGACCTGAATTCCATTCTTGACAGGGGTTCCATTATCGACTGCATATTCCTAGACTTCTTCCATTCTTGACAGGGGTTCCATTATCGACTGCATATTCCTAGACTTCTCAAAAGCGTTCGACAAGGTTTCTCATCAACTGCTTCTTTTAAAACACAGGAAACTTAACATCGATCCGAACGTTCTTCAATGGCTTCACTCTTTTCTCACTGATCGTTCCCAATTTGTCACTGTGAATAACATTTCATCCATCACTTCTGCAGTTGAATCGGGCATGCCTCAAGGCTCTGTGCTGGGACCTTTGCTTTTCCTCATCTACATTAACAACTTACCTGATAATCTATGTTCATCAATAAACCTGTTCGCTGACGACTATGTTATATACCGTGTTATTAACAGCGACTCCGACGTCTATCTTCGTCAATCAGATATAAACCGTGTTCGTGACTGGACTAACACGTGGAACATGGAGTTAAACACTAACAAATGCAAGCACATGCGCGTTTCACGTCACAGTACAACATTGCCCTCTTATCATCTTAATAATATTAACCTAGAACCTGTGTCATGTTACAAATATCTAGGCATACTCATCACTTCTGATCTTTCCTGGAAGATGCATGTAACACATGTAACCAATAACGCTAATCGCACGCAGGGCTTTATACGCCGTAATTTTCATCTTTCTTCCTTTCCAGTAAAATTACTTCTGTATAAATCATTAGTCCGTTCCAAAATAGAATATGCTGCATCTGTGTGGGACCCCAGCCAAGAAACACTCATTCATTAGCTTGAATCCATCCAGAGTCAAGCTGCTCGTTTCATTCTTTCTAACTACCATCGCACCTCCAGCGTCACTTCCATGAAAACAACTTTATCATTACCTCTGCTCTCACAACGTAGGGAAATATCTCGCCTCTGCCTGTTTCACAAGATATATTGTACGTGATTTCGTCTGACTGAAAGAGGGCATAGTGGGGCATACTCAAGTAAGGTGCCTCAGACTGAGAGTGAAGAAGTGGACGTTGTCGGTGAGCTGCGTTGTGGCTGCGGACTGACAACTGTTATTTTTCACGTAACATTTTGGTGGAAGTGCTGGGTGCTCTTCTGACAACGGAGCTACGCAGTGGATGCCTCCTTAAGTCTGCTACCATGGCTCCGAGTGAGGATACGGCTTCGCCACCTACCTCAGCAACGACAGCAACCTGGTAGGTCGCCCTAACGCAACCCCGTGATCCCGGTACCTTTACTGGAGAGGACAACGCGAATGTGGACAAGTGGCTCAGCATGTACGAGCGCATCAGCAAGCAATATGGCTGGGACCCAACCGTTATGCTTGCGAATGTCATTTTCTATCTTGACAAGACCCCTCGCATCTGGTTTGAGACCCACGAGCACGAAAGCACAAGCTGGGAAATGTTTAAACAACAGCTCCGCGACCTTTTTGGCAACCCGTTTGGTCAACAGCTTGATGCCCAAAAGCAATTGGCTGTACGTACACAGACGTCCACTGAGCCCTACTTGACTTACATTCAAGACGTCTTAGCGTTGAGTCAAAGGGCCGATCCCAACATGACTGAGGCCGACAAGATTTCGCGCCTTTTAAAAGGAATTGCCGACGATGCGCTCAGATTGCTTGTATTTACCAACGTAACGACCATCGACGCCGTGATCAAAGAGTGCCGCCGTCTCGAGCAGGCGAAGAGTCGACGCATTTTGCAGCAGTTTCAGCGCCTACCCAACACCGCGGCAACGTCGTCTTGCGAAGCCACTCCTTGTCATCCGTCTACAACCGAAGACGTGACGCGCATCGTCCGACGTGAACTCGAGGCCGCTTACCCGGCTAACAACAAACTGACGTTGCCCGACGCCTCAACGCCAGCTGTCGCCTTGATCCAGGCTGTTTTCCGCCAGGAATTCGCTAACCTTGGTATCCTGTC